AGACACAACAAGCTGATTTTCCTCCACATCAATGCACCATTGCGTGTCAACATTGGTCTGAAACTACTTGGAGACACTCAACTGGGAGGTGCTACCCCATTCTGCTTATTCACCAGACCTGGTCCCTTCTGACTATCACCTGTTTTCATCGATGGGCCACGCACTCAATGAGCGGCATTTTGATTCTTACGAAGACATCCAAAAATGGCTTGATGAGTGGTTTGCCTCGAAAGAGAAGGAATTTTTTTGGCATGGTATCCACACATTGCCCGAGAGATGGAAAAAATGTGTCGCTAGTGAGGGAAAGTATTTTGAATAAATTTGTTTTTGCTTTCTAAGACAAAAACATGTGTTTTTCTGACTAAAAAACAGTGGATTTAAGCTTATACACCTAGTACATTGAATAACTAAGTTTATTATTCCCTTTTAATTATTTTAGAGATTTGAATAAAACATCTTAATTAAATACAAACAACACCTTAACACTGGGTAGTTAAATCACTTTACTAAACATTTTTCAGCTTTACTGATGAGCCCTTGTCAGATAAATAGTGTTTGAATTTCGAATAATTTAACATTGAATATTTCTTCAAAGATTTTTAAAATGAAATTAACATCAAGAAAAAGAACAAGAATATAGTTAATGAATTTTTACAATAAATTTAAAAATATCAGTTATTATAACAACAATAAACTGTCTCAAATAAATTAATACAATATTATAACTATGTAATATTTAAGATTGTTAACTGCCCAGTATTGCTGCACATACAACAAGATGTTTTTCTTGTCCAAAGTCTTTTTGTAATTGCGTATCTCCATGCTCTTAGAAATCGCTCTGTGTCCCTGCATTAACACGTTCATTTCTAAGTTTGTGTTTAAAAATCTCAATTTTTTCTTTAATCATAGCTGTATAGGCGAGTGCACTTCATTAATGATTTTACATTCCTTTTAAATTACTGAAGTTTCTTGTACATTTGCGATTGCTGCCAAAGCTGTGCCTTCTTTCCTTTTCCTTACATCATATTGGTGTTCTTTAACTTTGGTTTTAAATTCTTTCTACTTGCCCCAACATAAGCCATTTTTAGGCTAAGCTCTTCATTAACTATTGGGATTCTGTATATCTCTGCTTTAGTTTCTTCTTCCTTGACATTTCAATGTATCCAATATAAATTAGGGGCCCTTTTATATACCATGAGGAGTTCTTTTGTTTGGAAAGCTCCTCTATTATATGCCTGATCTCCTTTTGGTATGTGAACTTAGTACTAATTATATCATTCATCATGGAATTAGCATCAAGAAAAAGAACAAGAACTATGTTCTTGTTCTTTTTCTTTTTCTTGATGCTAATTCTTTTCTTGATGCTAATTTCTTTTTCTTTATGTTAATTTCATTTAAAAATTATTGAAGAAATGTTCGATGTTAATTCGTTCTGAATTTGAACACTATTTATCTGATGAGGGCTCATCGATAGAGCTGAAAAATATTTAGTGATCTAACTATTTCAGTGTTAAGGTGTTGTTTGTATTTAATTGAAAATAGAAGCTGGGTTATAATGGATTGTTAAAATATCTTAATTGAATTGAATTATCATTCATAATTAAATATTTCTGATATACTTATAATTTTTGGCTAGAATATTCTGTTATACCTTAATTGTTTCATGCCCCAAAAATTGACTCTAAACTCAACTCCAAACTCAAAATAACAAACAAATTGGAAAATAAATAATACTAGTAAATAAATGAAGATTTCAGGTGTAAAAGGTGGTAGATCACATGAATTTAGAATTGGGAAAAATGCAAATAAAACCTTTTATCATTTAAAATGGAATGCATCTTCATTCATGTTTTTGGAATTTTAAATTATGGAACAACCAGGTTTCATTCTATGATATTGGCTTGAAAATAAAAATTTAAAATTAAAATCAGTTATGATGCATTACACAGTAAGTTCCCTGTAGATTATATAATAATTATTCATTAGTTAGAATCCAACCAGCAGGATGTCATAAAACATCTGTCACACCTCAGATAGAGTTTCAGAGTCCTGGGAATTGATACATTCTCCCTCTATGAAGGCTTTATAAATTTCAAGGATTTCTATTGCTTATATATATTTTTCCTTAAAGACTTTTTAAATTATTTTAGCTTTTCCTAGATTTGCTGTAACCCATGCTCTGTGGCATAATCAGTTAAAGTCGTGATTGATTTATTGTGCATAATGTTATAGTTGTGCTTAAAAACTTTTGGCATTTCTTGTCCATCATTATACATGATTGGTGTTATGAGGAGTATTTTCCCCATCATTGACAGGGAAAATTATTGAATTTTGAGCTGATATGCATACAGAGTACATTATTTATAGATATATAAATAATAAATAATTAGTTGTAGTTACCCATAGTTCTTAAAGTGACATTTTATCAGAAAACTTCTGGGATCAGTTATCACAAGTCTCTTTCTAACCTTTATGCTTTAGCAATTCCCCTAAGGAATGCTCTATTTCTGTTTGTCATCAGATTCATTCCACTTCCACAATCTATCATAAAAGTCGGAGGTTAGATTGCTATTTTGTGCTAATATGAATTACAATAATTTTTGGATTAAGTTCAATAATTGATTACTAATTAAAATTAATTAAAAATTTATAATAATTATTATTAGTACAAGATAGCAGTTTATCCTGTAAAGAACATCAGTATGTTTAAAAATGTTCAGTCTATGTTTTGTTCAGTTTTCAAACGACTAGCCTGACAATGACTGTTAAAAATCTTATCTCTAAATCTTATGTTAAAAACCTTTATGATAAATTATTTTAATTATTAATACAGTAGTTAGCCAAAAATACAGTATTTAATAATTTGATGATTCTAGACTATTTAAGCTTAGTTCTTTATATATATTTACAATAAATATCTAATGAAGATGAAACAGAAAAAAGAACATTTTAATGTTTGAGATAGTACCTTCTAAATTGCATACCATTGTAATGCTTTCAATAGCCACTTCAGAGATGAGGTTGTGTAAGTTATGTGAGTATTTTATTCCATTCTAGGAATTTTCTGCATGTTATACACTGTTACAAGTTACTAGTCAGTGAAAGGAATTTCAGTAATCAATAATATATCATTATGTGAAGTTGTATAGATGATGTATTTTTGATTATTGAGAGTAGAGGTAAATTAGGAGAGAAACTAGAAAAGGATAAGGAATTTAAAAATTAATAAGGACAAAATCTGTATTATTTGACAAAATGGAGAAAATTAGGATTTAGAATAATAGTTGGTTAAAGATGAACTTTAGGAATTATTTTAGTTAAATACTAATATAATTTAGATTGACAATTTTATAAATTTTGAAGACAAGGTATGTGATTTTGGCCTAATGATATACATAGCAGTTGCACTGATACAGTTAATTAGATGAAAAAGATCTTAATATTGAATAAAGTAAAATATATTAAGAACTAGTAAACAATAAACAGTTTTAAATAAGTACATTAAATCAGACATCATCTATACATACTAAATCTAAGTATTTATCAGCTATTATACCAGATTTTGTGAATCATCTATACATATACCAATGAAAAGTATCTGCTGTTTTTTGAATTGAAATAGGCCCTTGTGATTAGAGTGGACATCAGTAATCATTGGTTACATTCTGACAGCAAATTTTCAGTGTGTAAAAAGAAAAAATATGCTTTTCTTGATTTTTTGTTGTGATTTTGGCAGAAAATTCAGAAATTGTTGTTTTATCTATCTGCATTTACATTGTATTTTACATGTGCCTGTTCCTGGCCTAGGTCCATTTTGGTTTTAAAACTGGAGAAGATTGCTCTTCTTGATGTGCTGACACATTTTAAAAAGAACATATTTACAAAAATGTTGAATACTTCACTATTATGGTAATTATGACCAAGACAAACACATATATAACAGGAGTGAGCTTAAATTTGCATACGTAAGTCATTTAATAAGACACCTTAAAAGTCTGATTATCACTGAGAAAATGCAAAGATGTTTCACTTAGAATGTGTGTGCTTTGTATATCTTCTTTCTTTTTTGTTTGAGAGTATATATAAATATATAATACAGGGCCTTTTGGAGAAAATGCGAGGCCCAGGGCAACTGATATTTTAGAGGCCCTTCAAAATTTAAAATAAAATTGTGGACAAGAAAATAAATTCAACAGTATTTAATATTTTTTGAATTATTATATTTAATTATTTTATCAAAGCTTTGCATGCTTTAACATTAGCAAATTCACTGATTATTTCAGAATATTCTAAAATATGCACTATCTGATAATTAATGTTGAGTGTTGCTTGTCCATTTAATCGTTCCTGACACATTGTCGATCGTAGATATGTTTTAATTCTTTTCAGAACACTAAATGATCTCTCACCTTCTGCTACACTCATAAGTAAAGTTAAAAAAATTTGAACAATTGTTATATTGGGAAATATGTTTATGAATCCCATGTTGATAATGTCCTTAAGAAATTCTGCCGGTTTTGTGCTTAAAATTGGATTTGTAAACACGCTTTAGCAGTATTAGTTGTTCTACAATTTTGTCACTTATTTCATTTTTATATTTCTCTAGCAATAATTTTGCTGTCCATAAATTATATCCGCATTCTTCTTGAAAATTTTATTTCCCCTCCCCCTTTTGTCCTAGTTTGTACAAGTTTGTAACTCCTCTCCTCTTCTGACATAAACAAAATTCAACCCTTCTTAAAACCTTTATCACTTTATGAGTGATAGATACCATAAGTAGAAACAAAACATAAAAGAATTTTGAAATAAACATAATAAATGCATAAACTGTATAAAATTTAATGAAATAAATGGCATCCACTGTAGCTCAATCCCTCCCCTGTCTGACTTTGTCTAATTATATATTTAAGATTGAATTATTATATAACGAGGAAAATTTAAAAATAAATATATATATTTATATATTTTGCTATAATTATATGTATAATTTTTTTTTCTAGTATGTTTAGATGACCAGTTTTTGTGTGCTGATCGTGAGAAGTGCATACCATTAAGATGGAAATGTAATTATGTGCCAGACTGTTCAGATGGATCAGATGAACCGGAAGACTGTCGTAAGCATTTTAACAGTTTTATTTATTGTTTTTTTAATTAAAATAAGAAAAGTACACAATAGAAATAATGATATAAAAATATTTTATATTTTCTTTTATATGTTATATTGTCTCAATAGGAGTTGATATTTTTAAAAATAAAATATGACAAGAATTAAAAATGTGTTTGATAATTAATGATTTTAAAAATACGTATGAGAAGTTAAATAATGTATGCATGTATGTACAATAGAATGGGGCAATTTTTGAAATTGCCCATTCTATTGCACAGTACATACATGCATACATTATTTTTGAAATTGCCCCATTCTATTGTACATACATGCATACATTATTTAACTTCTCATACATATTTTTAAAATCATTAATTATTCCAGAGATAACTAACTGGTTTGCTACTCCTAAAACTACATGTAATTAATTATTAAGTGGAACATCTGGATTCAAGTGGTTTGTTTTTATGCCAAAAATTTTTCATCTGTGGGAGTATTTCTTGATAAACTATATGAAAAGTTTTTGGTGTCCACAATGAAATACAAGTGTTGAAACAAGAAGACTGTCTTCATTCATACAAGTTTATGTGCAGTTCAGTTTCTAAGCTTGAGGAAAATGATTTTTTTACTGAGAATTAGTGGGAGATTTCTAAACATGCCAAAAGCTGGTTGGATGGATTTGCTTTAGAGAACTGGAATATTTCCTGAGCAAAAATCCATATATTCAAATTGTAATTCCTGAGTCTTTTTAGTCATAAAACTTAGTTTTTAGTGAAAACCAAATATGCTGCTCTCAAACCTGTTGATGTTGAGATAATATTTCATAGTTTACTTTCCTTGTACTGACTGCAGCTGACCATGGAGAATGAAGAATGACTATGTTGGCATCCTTCTACTTTGTTAAAGGATTATTAACAATAATGCTTCATGGAAAAGGATTACTGTTTGTGACTCACATTTTAAGTTGTTGACCATTTGTCAGCACAAATTGCAAGTAAAAAACAGTTATCTTTCTAACATCAGACAAAAGTGGCATCCATTAACAACATCAGAAATTGATTGCCAAGGACGATGTATGATGATATGTTAGTGCTGTAAAAACTGGAAGTTGAGTGTCACTTGAAATTATTAATGCAAACATAATTAGCAGTAATGGCAATTCAATGGCTTCGGAATGGAAGAGTTGGTTCCTATAGTCTATGAAGGCATTGGTTTTCTCCAGGAAGTCATATTTATGGATCAGGTTAGGGCTATAACATTCCAATACCAAAAAATCAATGAGGTTTGTTAACAAATTAGCCTCAACACTAGTGTTATTAATTTTTTCATCAAATTTTGAACTGGAATTATTATCTAGATCAGGGGTAGCCAACAGTTTTTACCCCCGGGCAAAATTGGAAAGAAAACTTTTCTCACGGGCCGAACCAGAGGCTGCCGTAGGAAGATTTTGAGGTGGTGCGAGATCTCATTGTGGTGTCACCCCATAGAGACTGAATTGTAGATAGAGATTACAGATACACATTTTTCTCCTTATCATGCTTTATCAACACTCTACGCTGTACTTAAGAGATTTGTAATGGAGGGTTAACTCTAAATGCACAGTGAGTTGTTGACCTTCTTTTTTTTAGGCATCAGAATTTTTCATGGAATATTTCCTGAGCAAAACTCCATTTAATCAAATTGTAATTCCTGAGTCTCTTTAGTCATAAAACTTAGTTTTTAGTGAAAACCAAATATGCTGCTCTCAAACCTATTCGAGAATTCAGTAGCTATTATTGAAAGATTGATCGCAGGCCACATAAATGCATTAGACAAGCTGGATCTGGTCCGCGGGCCATATGTTGGCCATGCCTAATCTAGAGAACAGATTATTTTCTGATCATTTTCAGATACATTGTTCGTTTTGATGATAAAAATAAAATAAACTTTACAAAATGCACAATGACGGTTTTGTGATTGTCCATCATTACAAATTATTGCCATGAACACAAGGCAGATTACTGCCATCTAGCAGATTTATTAGCAACTAAAAGCTTTATCAAAGATCCAGAAAAGTCAGAGCTCAAAAATTTGACAATCAGGTTTGTATGAACAAAGGAAATACATTACTTGGAAAAATTATGATCATTGTAAATTAATGGGATATGCCAATGCCCATAAAATCTATGGGAATTGACTTCAATGTGCTAATCTTGTCATTTCACTTATTGTATTGAGCAACCCTCTTATATTTTTTAACCTTTGGTTAAAAAATATAAGAGGGTTGCTCAATACAATAAGTCTTTACTCCTTTTATCCCTTTGGATAGGAGACTCTTAGCAGGATTGTAGAATGTGTAAACAATGAGTTGATTAATCAACATTGAAAATTGCTTAAGACTGAATTATTTAAATATATTTTTCTGAGAAAAAGAAAAAGAAGAATGCAATTTCAGTGTAACTGTACTATAATTTTTTTTTTTTATTAAAAAGGTAATAACCATTAGACTTAAAATCAGTTTAATTTGAAGAATTAACTTTATGTTGGATATTGGTATTTGAATGAAATAACAAATTAAATTATAGTTTTATTCTTATGAATTAAAAAAAATTGTATTTTTTTTTAGCACCACGAACATGTACACCTGGACACTTTCAATGTGCAGTTACTCATCAATGTATTCCTCATGGTTGGGTTTGTGATGGAGAAGTAGACTGTGGTCTTGGAGAATATTTTGTTCCTGATACATCAGATGAAGATCCTCGAAGATGTAAGTATTTATATTATGACAATACTTTCACAATAATGTACCATGAAAAACAACTTCAGTGATATATAAATTTTAAAACAATTTTCTCATTATAAAATACTTTACATTTTAATATATTGTTATTTACTTATGCATACTGGCACTCTTTGCTATGATGCAGATAAAAACAAATTACAAACATTTGAACCCATTATAGATTACAAGAACAGCATGATACAATATATTCTGCCTGATTACAAAAATTATAATTAGTAAACTATAAATAAAAATTACAAGTATATTTAAGTTATATTAATAATATTTTGATAGACATATATTTACAAAAGAAAAACTAAAACTAACATTTTAATCTGAATGAAATAATATAGAGTACTGTTTAATAGTTTTTTTACTGATTGATATATTATTTTTAGAGTTTCATAAAGTTTTACAATTTTCTGTATTTTCTTCTTGCATTTTTACCATTTTTTTTGTTTATATAATAAACTTTCTGATGCCCTATATATTGACATTTGATCAAATGAATGTCTTAATAAATGGGGCTATAAATTTGTTGTTATTAATGATTAGATAGATATTAAGTAATTTGGTACGAGAGGTAGATGTTGGGTGCCATCTCTTATCTAAAATAATAATTATAATTTTAATAATTTATTAAATAATTTAGAACCATCTAGAAGAAAAGAACTAGTCTTGAGCAGGGCTTGAACCTGCAACCTCCACTTACTGTTTGGTATGCTTGCCAGTTACTCTACCTGAACCTCTGAGCAAATCTTTGCTTCCAGACGTATTTAAATTTTAGAGCAGTGATTCTCTACCACTGTGCTGTGAGATTTTTGAAGTGTGCCACCACTGCAAATACCCATACATAAGTGATGTCAGACAAGTAGTTCAATCAGTTAGTTCTACCTTCCTAGTGCGCATTTGGAAATTGTAACTGGTGTTACTGGTAACTGCTGGTAGTTACCAAGGTGTTTAGAAAATGTGACCTAAATAGCCAACTGCTTTTGAAAATCACTGTTATGATGCCACCAGTTGTCCTGCAGTACTTACCGAAGTAACCATATGTGCCACCAAATTTTTAAATTATTAAAAGTGTACCATGATGAAAAAAAGGTTGAGAATCACTGCTTTAGATATAACCATATAACCATTACTTTAGTTGAGTATCAATGTATTGGGCTTTGGAAGTTTTATATATATAACCGTGGGTGGTCGTCTTAGACAGGTTTTACTGTATGTGTATATATATATATACACAGTAAAACGTGTCTAAGACGACCACCCATGGTTCCTTCAAAAAGTGGCCTTTTAGACAGGTGGTTGTTCAATACAGGTGGTGCTGTAATCCCATATTTCCGTATGTATTTTGTGCACTTTTTAGCCATTTCTAAGCAAAACTCGAGGTGAGCAAAAATAAGTGAATTTTTTCAACGATAGGGATATATTGGTACAGTATTGTATTGTATTCTTATCGGATAACTTGATTTACAGGAGTCGTCGTAATTTTATAAGACAGATTTAATACCAATATTTTAAAGATTAATACAATATCGCATTTTCTCGATTATAATGTATACTTTCTTTTTTCCAACTTAATTAATTCAACTTGGTTGCCTTCATTCACTCCTCAGTTACGTGTATTATTACATCATTGATATACGAGCGCGTCATATGTCTACATCACTTTGGTTTTGGTATTTGTTAGTTCAATCTTATTTTAACTTTAAAAATACTGTATTTTTTTAATATTTAATATTTTCTTAAGTACAATAAGAAAAATTATTAATTAATAAAATGATTTTATTACTTTTTTTTTTATTATACGATTTCATTACATTCTGTGATTGTCATTGCGGAATCGAAAAAGAAAGGTTGCCTGCAAAATTGATTTTTGCATTAATGCATTTATTGTTTTTTGAATATTTTGTGTGCGAAAATTACTTGGATATTATTTTTTATAAAAATATTGTGGAAATAAGGTAGGTTGATACAGAAACTATTTATCACACATGTACTGTATATGAGCTTCAAAATAAATAAATAAAAATAAATTTTATCAAACGATGAGATCAGTCGATTAATTGTATCGTGTACAATATTTTATACCCCCAAGGAAAATACTGTAGGTCTACGATAAAATCAATTTTGTTTTCCCCACAGTTAAACTTCGCCGCTAATTGTTGTTGTGATAACTTTAATACGATCTTCTAATGACAGCACTTCGCATTTCTTTTGTTTTTTGGACAATTTCGAACAAACTGAAATGAATTTTTTTGTTGCTAGACTAATTCATTAACACCTGCACCTAATTTCAAGGGTGGGAGAAGTGCCCGAGGTGGGTTTGAACGAGAGTTTAGACTAATTCATTATATTAGGAAGGGGGAAACGTTGAACAATAGTTTAGACCAGATATATTCACAGAAATGGTTGCTTATTACAGTTGTTGTATGTTGTTTCGAACCAAAATTCAATGCCTGCGGTTGCATTACACAGGTCATTTAATACAGGTGTGAGACCCGAAAGGCCCTGGGTATAATTTGTGAATTTTTATTAATAATGGTAAAATATCAACACAAAATATTACTTCGTTTTTGTGAAAAAAATATTGTTTTAGACGTGGGAAAAACCAGATAACAAATGTTATTTCCTTTCATCGAAGAGAACATCCTCTGTTTTTCCCGTATCTGGTTAAAAATCTCGCTCAGATGGGAAATGGTTACCCCTCATTCATCCCCCTCTCATCCGTTCTCACGAAAGAGTTACTGGACGATGATTGGACGAAATTTTGAAATAAAAGGGGAGATTAGTCAGAATTCGGGGAGTTCTTCGACAGATCCAAAGCATACAAACTCCACATACGTTTCCCTCCTGATGGCCAACGCCCAAAACGGAGTCCGATAGACTAAGTCCCGAGTCTATACTTAGAAGAAG